TGGTAATAAAATTTATAATTAATCTTTCAACGAGGCTTGCGATGGAACTGTGATCTTGTAGAATTATATTGTGGCCTTGACAAGTTTTTGAGTAAAAGAACTCAAATTAAATACACTTTCTGAAATTATTATGCAATATAACACTACACTACACAATCTTTTTTTTATCGCACTTTTGTCATTAATCTATGAATTTATTTGTTTCGATTCATTTACTTTTCCGTTTCTTGGTTACAGTTAGCATTACATCTGATCAAAAGACATTTGGGTTCTAGTGTTTTTGAAATAAGGTGTCCGTACAAAGAAACATAATTTTTTATTAATCAGTTTCTAAAAACGTTGAGTTTCCTTCCATTGTGTAATTCTGTGAAAAATGAATTTCAAACATGTTTCAATAATAAATATATATACAGGGTGCCGCATCCAAGTCTGGATATAGGGAATTAACATGCGAATTGGTTTTTATTTTATAATATCTCCCCAGATCACTTTAAAGCTATTATTGAGTGATGGCTTTGTGGAGGTCGAAGAGGGCTATCGGCCAGTATTTTTTTCAAATCGTTGCATCGCGCTCATTCACTGTAAAAAGGTTTTAAAAATCGTATTTTGAAATTCGCGCCCTATCCGAATTGTCGCGAAGTGTTCCGTCGTACTGTCGAAGTTCGGCGATCGCGTCTTTTTATTACCCATGCAAAGTTCAAATGTCAAAGTGAAATTAGAAATTATTCTCATCAGAAATCAACGAACAAGTCAAACTGAATTATTTTATCCAGTGTGATGATTATTGTAGGACAAATTAAACGGAATAAATGCACAAATTGATCCATTCATTCGTCATAGTGCGCGACCCCGTCAAACGAGCCATGTCGAACTACAATCAGACCGTATCCAAAAAGCCCAAGATGAAGATTTCAAGACTTCGAGCAGCTGGTCTTCCTCAAAACCCCATCAAAGCCCATCGGCAGCATTGCGACATTTTCTGGGAGCCCTCAAGCTAGGAATGTACTCGGGCTGCCTCACTCAGTAATCACTGAACGACTCAAATTGAATTATTTTATCCAATATGACGATTATTGTAGGTCAATTTAAACGAAATAAATGCACAAACTGCACAAAATATTTTATTAGGTTATGTTGCTGGTGCTGATCGAGTCTTTATTACTAAAATCTCATTAAAATGCCATGTTCTACTGCGATTAGATGAAAAAGCGAGGGCCCGCTTTTCTTATTGTGTGATGATAAGATTTACCATCAAAATAGCTGGCGCCTTTGAAGAGGACCTTTTAATGAACCATTTAGATAACTACAAATAACAAAACTTAACAATTGTTGATGAATGAAGTAATGAAATATTGTACGAATCTGGAGAAGTATTGCACTATTTTCAAGAATTGCTCAAAAAGACTGCTCTCAGCAGCTGTACAGTAAGTAAGCCAATCTTCAAAACTCCTACGCGTGTTGATCAGCATTTTAGTTGAAATCTGAAGACAATATTGCTGGAGTGCTTGTTTCAGCGCTTCTCTGTTTGTATAGCTTGTCTGAATGCAGATGGTCGTGAAGAAATCTCCAAAGAAAAAATTCTCAGGGCTTTATATCCGGCGATTGCACAGGCCAATGGGTGCAAACTTTCCATTCCAACATTGCGGAAAAATACTGGTTCAAATAAACAACATTTATGCGAACTGTATGGTTGGAGATTTGGTCCTGGATGTAAAAGACCTGCTGCAGATGCCGCATCCTTCGAGTCCCAGGAAGTATTTGCTGAGCTAGCATATTATCCTACTTCTGAGCATTCAATCCGGATTCGATGAAAAAAGGTGCAATGACATGATGTCCTAGAAGCCCCAGTCATACACTGACAATTGCACGCCATTGATAACGAAGGTCATGGACCACGTGAGGGTTGTGTAATGCTCAAATTTGATCGTTCTGACGATTATAACTTCCCTTAAGACCAAATGAACGTCAGTAAAACAAATTTTCCTCAAAAACTCTCCATCAGCCTAGATTCTCTCAAGCGTTCCTTCGTAAAACTCTATATGTGAGAAGTAGTCCCCAGGCTTCAATTTTTTGTCATGATGCTTTTAGAAATTCTTCTATCTCATCTGTTTAAGACCCCTAGAAAACGTCGTGCCCACCTGATTTTATGTAATTTTTATCACCTTTGAAAATAAATGTAACTTTATTTTGCGAAATATTATTTTTATTTTTGTTGTTGTTAACACAATAAACAAATAAAACAGTAATACAAAAGTTTCTGAATCCCAAAACACATTCGTAATAGAGAAAAATACTTTAAAATGTTGATGAGTCAATGTTCTACATTTCTCTCTCAAAAATTTCCTGTAATGAAGATGCTTCCTGGAGGCAAAAATCCATCGCTGCTTAACGAATGTAAAATCAATTGACTTCCAATCTTTAGTGATTCCAAAAAAAAGGGTGAAATTTATCCAAATTACCTACTAATTAAATTAACTGTTGAAGAACATGCAGGCCCCCGCTTTTTCATCTAATCGCAGTAGAACATAGCATAACCTAATAAAATATTTTGTGCAGTTTGTGCATTTATTCCGTTTAAATTGACCTACAATAATCGTCATATTGGATAAAATAATTCAATTTGAGTCGTTCAGTGATTACTGAGTGAAGCAGCCCGAGTACATTCCTAGCATGAGGGCTCCCAGAAAATGTCGCAATGCTGCCGATGGGCTTTGATGAGGTTTTGAGGAAGACCAGCTGCTCGAAGTCTTGAAGTCTTCATCTTGGGCTTTTTGGATACGGTCTTAGATTGTAGTTCGAGATGGCTCGTTTGACGGGGTCGCGCACTATGACGAATGAATGGATCAATTTGTGCATTTATTCCGTTTAATTTGTCCTACAATAATCATCACACTGGATAAAATAATTCAGTTTGACTTGTTCGTTGATTTCTGATGAGAATAATTTCTAATTTCACTTTGACATTTGAATTTTGCATGGGTAATGAAAATACGCGATCGCCGAACTTCGACAGTACGACGGAACACTTCGCGACAATTCGGATCGGGCGCGAATTTCAAAATACGATTTTTAAAACCTTTTTACAGTGAATGAGCGCGATGCAACGATTTGAAAAAAATACTGGCCGATAGCCCTCTTCGACCTCCACAAAGCCATCACTCAATAATAGCTTTAAAGTGATCTGGGGAGATATTATAAAATAAAAACCAATTCGCATGTTAATTCCCTATATCCAGACTTGGATGCGGCACCCTGTATATATATTACATATATATGGGACCCTTTAAATTAAGTTGTTTGAACGTTAGACAATCACACTAAAGCTAGGTTGGAGAAAGAAATCAAATGCGAAGTGTAAAATTATGGAAAAAGGAGCGTTAACAGCTTTTCGGCCAAATCTTAACAAATCAATCACAGATTTCGCTACGAAAGTTGGAACATCCAATTCTTATTTCCAAAAAAACGCCAAACTGCACTGAAAAACAAAATTAAATTGTATACACACTTTTAAACAAAGTTTAATGTGTAATATGGGGCAACAAAGTATACGCAAAACAGATTTTCAACAGCCACCACTTATAAAAAACCCTATATTCTTACCCTTTTTAGGTCCGATTTACCCAGAACACGCTATGTATACAAAGCAACAGAGTAGTATGAAACCACTAGGATCAAATTTTGCCACCAGGAATTAAGATCTACTGAAAAATATTGCTCCCATGCAAAGCAGGAATTAAGAAAAACCAAAGACAAAGCCAACAACCTAGTTGATCTAAAAAAAATTGTCTAAGAAAGTCTGTGTGAAGGAATGCCTCTGTACAGGATATGACGCGAAACATCAGAAAGGAAGTCAGAGATTCTTATGATGATGAGGGACTCGTACGAATTACATTGGCTATAACATATTTTAAAACAATGCTTGAAATATATGTACGTAATATGTAAGAGTTGTAAGTTAAAAGTTCCACAGATACACGTTTTACTGTTTTCTTTATGTTGAGGGCCTTTTGGTGTACACGTTTTAGTATCAAATGACGTTTTTATAAATACTCTTTGATATAAACTTTTAAAGATACTTGATATAAAAACTGACAAAATTTGATCGCAATCACAAATGGCTTGTCATACTAAATTCTTCAAAATCGATTCATTTTCTTATTCATTCATCTATCATCTCTTGCCACATTTTAAAATTTACGTCTAAGAGAACTATTACCATAGAATTTGATTTTTTTTTCTTTTTCAATGGTTTCAATAAATTTTACTTTAACAAAAAACGCTAACTACAATATACTTAATAAAAAAATACTCCTATGCGATAACTATTGAGTGGTAATATAGACTTTTCAAAACACTTTTATTTTTCTAATTTTTGGACAGTCATTACGAAATATTGAAGAGAGGGAAGAAATTTATAATCATCAATAAGGGTTAATAAGTTTACTAGCATCAATATTTGTATAACACATACAAAAAAACCTAGATAATCTTTTTAAAAAACAAAATTACTCAACTGCAGGTAGCCTGAATTGAGGCCGATGACTTTGATGTTGGATTTAATAATTCTTTTACGACTAAATAATAATAAGCAATATAGTAATAACTACTGTGATGAAAAAAGACACCGCCACATCGATAGTAGAATATAAATTTTTATCGTAATAATAATAATCAGTGAGCAAACAATAAAACCATTTTTAAATATTTATTTTAAAATATAATTCAATTTAAATATTTTTAGTTTTTGTTGGAGTTGTCACCATTTACGAGTTTTTGTGAAAAAGAAATTGAATACCATAAACTAACAGAATATATAACAAGAGTTGAGCTGATCGTAAAATAGAAAAATTTTGTGCATCGAAGAATGCCATTCTTTACGCATCGGGGATTATCCAAGTGTCTAATTAAGCCATAACAATATTTATTACACCAATAAACTAAAGATTCATTTACTTCTTATTTCCAAATAATTGTAAAAAAGAGATATGACGTCTAAAAATTGAAATCAAAAAGATAAAGCCAATAAACCCCTTAAATAAATAGAAGGCACGCGTACAACGATTAACAAGTCACAGTAACTGATTCGATCTGCAAACATTCGAAGCAGGTATTCGTATTGTTTTTGAGTTACATTAATTTTTAATGATTCGTTCTTAGGGAAATATTTCAAAATGTTGTTTAGGACTTTGCTAGCTCTGACGCTGGTTTGCCTCACAGTTGGATCTGTTTCAGCTGCTACAGGTAAGACATTACGTTATACGAACACAAGTACATAGTCATGTAAAAAGTTGTTTTACAATGGCTATAAGAACAAATTATTTCTGCACGAATGTGAGTGCAACAAAATTATTATTTAATGTTCGTTTTCTTGCAGATAAAGTAGTCTGTTACTGGGGCACGTGGTCCACTTACCGTTGGGGAAATGGAAAATTCACAGTCGACAACATCGACCCAAATCTTTGCACCCATCTGATTTATGGGTTCGTGGGTTTGCAAGCTGATGGGAGTGTTCGTCTTCTGGACTCATACTTGGACGTAGACGCCAGTAAAACTCTCTTTCAATTTTTTTTTACAGTTTTCAACCCTCGTTAATTCCAGAAACGTTTGAAAAGACCAACGCCCTCAAACAACGCAATCCCAATCTGAAAACACTTATTGCTATCGGAGGCTGGAATGAAGGTTCGGAGACGTATTCGGCAGTCGCAGCTAGTCCCTCGAAAAGAGCCACTTTAATTAATAGCGCGTTGGATTTAGTTCTAACGTGGGGATTTGACGGTTTTGATTTAGATTGGGAATACCCGAACCAGCGCGGCGGAGTTTATGCAGATATTGTAGGTTTAATTAAGGAAAGATAATATTTACGCCTCAATGGATTAATATTTCAGGCCAATTATGCAACGTTGATTAAGGAATTCAGGGAAGTGTTTGATAGATATGGTTTGTTGCTGACGGCAGCTGTTGCCGCAGCTTCTCCTTCGGTTGACTTGTCTTACGATGTGCCAGCACTCAGCAAGTAAGAACTGTTTATTTATTAATCACTTTTCTAAAACATCGTTGTTTAGATACCTAGATTTCATCAACGTGATGGCTTATGATCTTCATGGCTCTTGGGAGGAAGGAACTGGTCAGAACGCACCCCTTTACGCTTCGTCTATCGAAAAAACTTACAACGAAAGATTGTTGAATGTTGATGCGGCCATTCAGGGTTGGATTGCTAGAGGAGCAGCCCCTGAAAAACTGGTTCTGGGTCTTGGAATGTATGGTAGAACGTTCACCCTGGCTGACTCTTCAAAAACTGCACTCGGATCTCCAATCACTGGTGGTGGAGATAAAGGAAAATACACCGGAGAGAATGGATTCGTGGGATACCATGAGGTAATTTTAGGGAATTTTAGCTTCGGTGTTACAATTCATCTTTTTTGTAGATCATAGAACTTCAAAACGCAGGTGGTTGGACAACTGTCTGGGATGACGAACAAAAAACTCCCTACACGTACAAAGGTAACCAATGGATCGGATACGACAATCCTCAATCCATTGCCATTAAAGTAAGTTTGAGCAGTTTTGATAACATTTTCTGAGATATGCCCTTAGGTTGATTACGCCAAAAATCTAAATTTGGGTGGAGTGATGATTTGGTCCATTGACACAGACGATTTTAACGGACTAAGTGGCACCAAATACCAACTTCTCGCAACCATTAATCAGGCCCTAGCCGTAAGATAGTTAAACTAAACTTTATTAGATCACACAATTATTATATTTTTAGGGTTCAAATCCAGAACCACCTCAGCCTCAACCACAACCCGAACCTGAACCTGAACCAGAACCCGAACCTGAACCAGAACCAGAACCAGAACCTGAACCACAACCTGAACCAGAACCTGAACCCGAACCTCAACCAGAACCGGAACCGGAACCAGAACCAGAACCAAGCGATCCAACTGATCCCACTTCCTTCTGCAAATCGGAAGGATTTGTTAGAGATCCCAATGACTGCACCGTATTTTACTACTGCTCCCCAGTTGAAGGTGGTTTCCAGGTTATCAACAGGAAATGTAACCATGGATTGGTGTATGATACCGTGGCTAATATCTGCAACTATCCAGCTTTAGTACAATGCTAAATCAATATTATCAATCTTTGTTAATTTTGATGTTATCAGAAATAAATCTAGATGTTAAGAGCAAGCACGTTTGTTTTTAATGAATCTATCATGGTGTGATCCATGAAGTGAATTTTGATGCCTCTTTTGATAACTAAATGCTTGAGTATGCAAAACTGGATTTCAAAAATTTTACTCACTTGTCTGCGATAAGCAAAAGTATTATATTGATTCTATTGTCTGTAAACAGTGGCGGCAGCAAATTGTAAAAAAAAATAGAGGCTGAAATCTATATCTATTGTCAAATAATAATATGACACAATCCTTTACAAGGAAAAGGAACGAGATTTTTAATTAACTAAAAATTTTGAAGAATAATATGCAGAGTGTGTATTATTACAATTAGGAATTAAATTACCTATTTTAAAATTATTAATTTAAAAATAGATCTTAAGACGGACACTTGGTTTTTAAACCAAAAATTACACATACATACTGTTGAATTGTGCGAATATGAATAAGAACAACGGACAGTCGTTTACGAATTTTATTTAACAAATAACAAATGTAAGTTCCAGGATAGAATATGACCGTTGGGTCCACAAATGAATATAGAGTGAATGATGTTGAGCGCTTGAAAAGTGAATGAATAATGATGAATGATGAATGAAGAATTAATGAGTTAAGAATGATGAATGTGCTACCTTGTGTTCCAAAGGGGAGCTGGTTCTGCCTCCTACTCTTACGGGTTGAGAGGCGAAACAGGTTCCCCGCCACAGGCACTAACAATTACAACTTATTTAACTAAAAACAAGAGTTTTTTGACTTCATAAATGTGGTGTAATTTCATGTTACTTCGAGCTTTCATATAGAAAATAGGTCTGCCATTTCCATTTGTCTGTTGGTGACTTTATTAGATACGTATTTCCGAAACTATTGCACAACAAAAAATTTTGTAGTTTGATGTAAAGAATGACAGAACTGATTGTCTGAAAAGTTTGTTGCGATATGTTCGTAATTTGCCAAAAATTGATGACTGCATCTTAAAACGTTTAGATATTTTTAACGATACCTAAAGGGGTAACTAACACTAACTAAACTCTGTAAAAAGAAATATTACATGAACTTTTTGACATTTTCGTAAGATCAAAAACATTTTCATCACATGATAAACGAGTCGACTATGCAGCGATTATCCCACTTCAAGATTTCCAATTTTAATACAATCGAATGATCGAAGTAAACACTATAAATGAAAGATTGGCAGATAAAAGAGATACTTGTCGATATCTCGATCGAAGAAAATTGGAATTTGGAAGGGGACACGGATTCGAATATAAATAAAAACAAGCAGATATGAAAATTAGGAAAAAATACAAAACCCTCTACAATGAAAGTGGTAACAATTTTAGCCCTATTGTCTGCTTTTATAGCAGTATCGTCTGCAGGTAAATTATAAAAAACGTAAAAATTATTATTTCTAATGCTATTTTGTTTTAGGCAACGTTGTCTGTTATTTTACGAGCTGGACCATCTACAGAGAGGGTGATGGTACTTTTGCCGCCAAAGATGTAGATCCAACACTTTGCACACACATTCTGTATGCTTTCGTTGGGTTAGCATGGGATGCTACTGTGAAAATTTTGGACGACTGGGAAATCACTGGATTAGGTATAAATCAATTCAACTTGTTTTCCATACTTAATTCTATTTCCAGATGAACTTAACCACCTGATATCGCTTAAAGAACAAAATCCAAACTTGAAGATCATACTTAGTATGGGTGGTTGGAATGAAGGCTCTTACCAGTACTCACAAGTTGCTGCAGATCCTAGTCTTAGAGCCACGATGATCGACAGTGTCATCAGTTTTTTGAAAGAAAATGGGTTTGACGGATTCGATCTCGACTGGGAATATCCTGGACAGAGAGGTGGTGCTGACGACGATCCAGTAAGTGCCATCACCAATAATAAAACTTCGAAAGTCGTTAAAATTTGATTTAGCAAAATTACATTACCTGGTTGGGTGAACTGAAAGCCGCCTTGAACGCCGAAGGGTATATTCTTTCAGCTGCTGTTTCTGGGGGAGTGGGATCAATGGATATCTCATACCCAGATGGTAAAGCTATCTCAGAGTAAGTACTTCTTTTGGACAATTATTATATATTTATTTATTTTATTATTAGTAACCTAGACATGATCAATGTAATGACTTATGACTACCATGGAGACTGGGAAAAGTGGGTGGGCCACAATGCTCCTCTATATGCCTCACATCTAGACGAAGGCGACAACGCAGTTCTCAACGTCGTAAGTCTCTGAACTTCTTTGCGCTTCTGAAAATTTAAATTTGTCCTTCAAAGGCCGCTGGTATTCAACACTGGATCGACAACGGGGCCGATCCTAAAAAAATTAATATTGGACTTGGTACTTATGGTCGTACTTTTACCTTGGCCAACGCATCCAATACTGAATTGTATGCACCGGTTTATGGTACTGGCGAACAAGGACCCTACACTCAAGAAGCTGGTATGTTGGGGTACAATGAGGTGAGTTTATAGCAGAATATGGATGAAGTAGTGTTCAATATTCTCAAATTGTGCAGATTTGTGCGTTATACAGCGACTGGGAAGAAACTTGGGACGATGAGCAAAAAGTGCCACATAAAGTGAACGGTGATCAGTGGGTTGGTTACGATGATGTCAAGTCAATTCAACTGAAGATTGAATTTGCTAATGAGATGGGGTTGGGAGGTGCTATGGTTTGGTCTCTGGATACTGATGACTTTTTGGGTAAATGTGGAGAGAAGTATCCTCTCATGAAAGCCATTAATCAGAATTTAAAATAAATGTTAAAATATTTCTTAAATAAATAATTTTTTTGGCTTGGTTGTTTTTTTAGAAAATTCACTACTAAGTATTGCCTGTGTTATTAAACATATGTGATTGAATAACAAGTTAATTAAACAATAAAAAATGGTAGTTTATGTACATACACACAAATCATATTTAACGTAGATACGTTATATTATTACAATTTATATAAAAAATAGAGATTTGTGATAACGAGCATCAGTCTTGATAAGGTGTAGGTGATTTTGAAGATAAGTGGGAATAGGTTATCTCTACATACTCATACTCACTATGTTTATAACTAAAAATATATTTTACTTTTAATTAAAAAAAGAATATATTACAAATCGGGTATCTATCGTTTTTATCATTTTATTTTTTTTTTTTGTTAACAATAGTTAAGTGTTTAAACGCTAGATAAATTGCAACATGTAAGCAAGACTTGGTTCAGCTACCGCACACAATTTGAATAAAATTTGTTTAATTTAATCGCTACGTATAGGTAGGACATACGTTTATTTAAATGAATAATTTTAATCAATATTCAAATTATATGACCTTTATAATAAATTATTAAGAAAAAGTAAGTTCTATGTTTGTTAAAAATTATTACAGAGAAATGTGATGTTAATTCTTTGCTGCTTCAAGTTTGTTACGTCGTGGCACAAAAATGAACTCGTTTTCGATGACAAATTAGTGCATCTGAAAATATTCTTGTTGATATTTGTTAACAGCAAGTAAGATGATGACAGAATACTCGTAGTCGGTAACTTTTAAAATTTTACAAATTATTACCAATCATCGACGTTGCTGACACTTTGGGCCGAAATCCCCGAATTTAAGCTCAAGTGCAAAAAACATAGAACTAAAAAGTGGTTAGTGTACCAATATAAATTAAAATATTATACACACAGAAATAGATAATTTTGTTTTAAAAATTGTTCCAAGATCTTAAAACTCGGTGACTTGTTTCAGTCTAGTCCAGTGTTTCATAAAATTGCAATTTGTTAAAGTCATATCATATAATCATATTTTGTTTTTAAAATACGATTTCATTTTTTATTTAATCTCTTTAACCCGTTCAAATATGAGTTATCATTGGAGGCTTTATTGGCTATATACTTACAAAACTCATACAAGTTCTCATATAAGATTTTTTGATAATATTTTATTGAGTTAAAATATCAAATGCTGCAGCCGTTTATCAAACGTACGAAGTCTGGATAATAAAGTGAATAAAATTCATCCAATGAAGATAATGTTTTCATCCTTTAATCAAATGGTTTTCGGTATTATTACTCTACTCTAGCTATTACATGCGTTGTTTATTGTTATTACATTTAACTGTAAAAAGAATTGAAATTTCTGTTCATTAGTCGGAATTCTAAAACAACTTGTAAAGTCTTTCTATTGGAACTTAGATCTTACTGTGGGAACTTTCTTAGTCACAGTATCAAATGGCATTTATGAAATTCTTATCATAGGCAAGTATTTTTAGACATTAGTAATATCACTGTCAATCCTACTATGCACTAAAATAAAATTTATAAACATTAATCTAAAAGCTTAATAACAGACACATCAGAATTGGCAATCGAGGCTTAAATTGTGTAAGTTGTCATCAAAAAAATGAATAGTTTTTTAAATTTCCTTACGAAATTTTATTTGAAAAATTAAACCATTTAATTTATGCTCGTGATTATAATATTCTCAACTGTGTAACATACGTAGAAAAGAAAAGATAACACAAATAAATCGTTACAATTCCAAATTAAAAAAAAATACTCACTTTCTTTGAGTAACAAAAATGTTACAAATAAATTTAAAAAAATACATACTTTGTATACAAACTTTCTTAACATAAAACAAACGAAACCGAACATTTTGCCCCAAAAATATCAACAGTTTATTTTATCTTGCCAGTTACTTTACAAAGTATTAGAAGTAATTAACATTGATTAAAATTTAACATTTTTCAAAAAGCAGTTGATCTCATTTTTGACATTAAAATCTAAATACACTGGTTTTACAGAATGTAATAAGTTCTTTTACAATGTCATAAAACAAAACATTTATTTTAAAAGTTCAAATTTGTTATTCAGACAAAATTGATAATCAGATGAAGATTACAGAATCTGGAATGAAACGACGTGTTATCAGTCATATCTGGTAAAAATATGGATTTTTGCAGGAATAGAATGCGCAGTTCTTGTGTCTGAAGAGGGTACTGTGTAGAGAAACACGTATACCAGTGTACTGCAATAAATTCTTTTTAACTTAAAAAATTTGAATATTTGTGAAAAATTCAATATTTCGTTATTACTCAATAAACAATTCATAAAGATTGGTTAATTAAATAATACAATCTTATTTCTGACAATTTTAGTTTTATTATCACAATTTGTTAGTTTGAAATATACTTTCGCACAACTTCAAAGACGAGCAGATTCCACACGAATAAAGAAATTGTTAAGACTTGTTGAATTGGTTAATCACAGGAGTTCTCGTGCAGTGTTAGTGGATTTCAAGCTTGTTGCACAGTAAAACTAAATTAAATCAGCTTTATAATATTTGTACAAAATTTTTAGGAGTACAACAATTTTATTTGGATTTAGAGAACATTTGCATGTTATAAAACCACGTTACTGAGACATGTTGGATTCAGTCGTCACATGTTTGTAAATAGAAATTAACCGCATTATAGACAGAATGTATTGATTAATTTATTATACTAAAATATTTTTTTTCTGTTTGAAGTTCAGTTTACAGTCAGTTGCCTTTACAAAAATTGTTATCAGAGAAAAAACTCTTCAACCTTGTACTGGTTACTGAGTGTTATGAGTAAAATCAAAGGAAAATTTTGATCACCAGTTTTATGTCATTTGACTATTATCATATCAATCATTATTAGTGTATTTAAGAGTGTACAAGTACATACATACTAGTAGATTAAAAATGCCTACAAATAATTACTAGCAACACTTTTAGTCACACACCTCTCAAAATTATCGTACTATAATCTAAAATTTTTCTAGTAAACACTACAAGTAAGAGATTTAAGAGTCCATAAAAATTTCAAGAGTTTTATCTTTAAAAAAATACTCCTAATAATTATTCATTTAAGTGGGCAGCCCAGTTCCCTATAAAAACAAGTCTCAACAATTGTTTGTTAGAGCAAAACTCTGAGTGCAGCATCATGAAGGTAGCGGCAATTTTGTCAATCCTCAGTGCCTCGTTGGCACTTTCATCAGCTGGTAAATATTTTTACTGAATATTGTCTTCTAAATTTGAAGGGTCGTTTTACAGGTAACGTTGTGTGCTACTTCACCAGTTGGACCATCTACCGAGAAGGCGATGGAACTTTTGCCGCTAAAGATGTAGATCCAACTCTGTGCACACACATTCTTTACGCATTCGTTGGCTTGAATGAAGATGGTACTATCAATATTTTGGATGACTGGGAAATAACCGGATTGGGTACGTATAACACATTTGCATATTTCGGTTGCTAACTGTGTTTGTTAATATGTAGAGGAGCTTGCGCATCTGGTCAGTCTGAAGGAACAAAATCCAGATCTGAAAATACTTCTGAGTATGGGAGGATGGAACGAAGGATCGACCACGTATTCAGAAGTTGCTGGAGATGAAACCAAGAGAGCGACTCTTGTTGCAGACGTCATTAGTTTTCTGGATGAAAATCAATTTGATGGTTTTGATCTCGATTGGGAGTATCCTGGTCAACGAGATGGCGATGAGTGGAATGACCCTGTGAGTAATAAATGCAGTCGTTCTTTTAATTTTCATTATTTGCGAATTATCTTAGCCAAACTTTATTCAACTACTGGGTGAATTAAAAACAGCTCTTAATGCTAAAGGCTACATTCTCTCAGCTGCTGTATCTGGTGGTGTTGGCTCCATTGATACGTCGTACCCTGATGGACAAGCTGTTTCAGAGTAAGTATTTATCTCAACTTATTTTCACATATATACTATACATTGTTACAATAGCGTTTTGGATATGATCAACGTTATGACTTACGACTATCACGGTGATTGGGAATCTTGGGTCGGTCACAACGCTCCCTTATACGCATCTCATTTGGATGAAGACGACAATGCACTTCTCAATGTCGTAAGTACCTACAGAATTATTTACTTTAGAAAAGTGATAATCTTCTTGTAGGCTGCTGGCATCCAACACTGGATTGACAACGGTGCCGATCCCAAAAAAATTAATATCGGTATTGGTACCTACGGACGTACTTTCACCTTGGCGGATCCTTCCAATACTGAACTATACGCACCCGTTTATGGTACTGGAGAACAAGGCCCCTACACTGAAGAAGCAGGAATGTTGGGTTACAACGAGGTAACATTCCGAATTAGTGGATAAAATGTTATAGAAAATATATTTCTCTTGTTTAGATTTGTGCTCTGTACAGTGACTGGGAAGAAACCTGGGACGATGAACAAAAGGTACCCCACAAAGTAAATGGAGACCAGTGGGTTGGCTATGATAATGTGGAATCTGTGAAACTAAAGATCGACTTTGCTAACGAAAAGGGTTTGGGAGGTGCTATGGTCTGGTCTTTGGATACCGATGATTTTAAGGGCATCTGTGGAGAAAAATATCCTCTTTTGAAAGCAATTAATGAAAATTTGAACTGATTTATAATAATTTGTAACTACGGTGAATAAACGAGTCTTAATATAAAATATTTCGTTCTTTAACTAAGATCAACTGCAATATTAAAATTTAATTATTAAGCAAACGTAAAATGGGTTAAAGGATGGCAGAAGGGTCTCAGAGGGAGTATCAGTTGTCGAGGTTGATACACCATCAAACCTCTGAGAAATGTTCACTGGAATCTAAACATTAGAAGATCAACTAACACTTGGATCAGCTCTTATCAACAAATCCTGCTCCCACATTCACGAAGGCGTAAGTCGTTTAACCCCTGGTAATGCAGGGCGTACAATGGGTGTACGTTATGTAGCTGACGGGACAGGGTGCAGGATAAACGAGAGTTTCTTGGCTAATTGGAATAAACCAATACAGAAAAATTCTGGTCCTTCAAGTATGAAATTTGGAGCAGTAGGCGAACACGCTGTCATCCGTAAAAAGTCTTTCTTGTTAAAATCACTAGAACCTTGCCTCGGAAACCGGACGAATCTCATTTACGACGACATTTGGCTAACAAACGAACTTGTAAAATTGGAACATGGAATACTTGTAGTTTAACCAACAAACAAACAGAGATAATTTCTGAAGTAATAAAGTACGACCTAGACATAGTTCCGCTGTTAGAAACGAAACGTAATATAGCCTACAGATTACTAATACTAGGTTTGCTCATAAGGATATTCACCGGTATACTTACTTGGAAAAGACCATCAATGAGGCATAGATCGATTATTATTATTTATAGATTATATCATCGTTCGACAAAACTCGAATTTCAGAGTATTAGATGCTCGGGCTAAGAGAGGAACAAATTGTGGCACCGACCCTCAGAAGTGAGAAATGCGATAAAACAAAAAAAAAATGCTCTGGCAGAAAAAATGCAACAAATAAATTCATATATCGGTGTCTCTAGTTCAACAGAAGTTTTAGTCGGGTCAATATAGACATTTCAAATAACAAAAACTCCGGCAGAGCTGAATTTTGGTAGAGACCTTGGGTACACCAGTAGAAACAAAGTGGCAAAAGTCCTCATAGATCCCATGTGTGCTAAAAAAGTTATTCAACGTCAAAAGTCAACATTTTTGGTTTTTTGGATTTTTCTCGAAAACGGTAAGTTTTATCAAACATATAGTTTAGACAAAAATTGCAGATCATAAAATTATCTACAAAAATAATCCTTATATTTTTTTTCTTAAGAATCACCATTCCCAAGATATCGCCGTTCTAAAAGTTGAAGGAGTTGCATTCTACATGATGTGCACACAAATTCCACGTATATACATAGTCAGATTCTTAATATACCTAAAAATGCCATTCGTGTCTCTTACTTGTATAAAATAACTACGCACAATATAATAAATAACTACTAACAATTCTGAGAATATATACTCAAAAGAAACTCAATCCCTTAGTCAGCCCCTCTACTATAGATTGATAAAATCATTTCATTTTAAAAATTTGGAAAGGCTCAACAGCGAGCAGAAATATATTCTTCAAGCAGTTTATCTTTTTATCCAAAATGCCAAAATCATATTTTATTTTTACATGTAATAACCGGCTGCGATACTGCATCAGCACTGTTCAGAAGGGATAAAAAATGAGTACTGAAATTACTTGAAAAAAGGACTTAACTGATTGCACTAAAGTATTTGAAGTAATTGACGCGTCTCCTCAAACGATAATCACAAAAGGAATTCGCTTTCTCCTTACGGTTTATGGAGCTCCAAAAAAATTAGTTGTTTCGACAAGTATAGATATTTAACTTAAAAAAAAAAAAACGAAACAAGAAACAAGTACAACTATCTTGTCTTTCTCCAGCATGGCTTCTGCTTATCAACACTTGTATCGAGTAGGTATACTATCAAGTTCAGATATGGCTAGGCTATCAACTGAACCCCGAAGACTGGGGTAGGAAGTTAACAGATAATACTTTGGAACCGATTCAAACTACACTCCCACCTGCTCCGAAAAAACTCGTAAACACTATTTTTTGCATTTGCAAAAAAGGTTGTTGTACTAAGTGTGGCTGTAGAAGAGTAGGGTTGTTATGTTCAATAGCGTGCACTAATTTCCAAGGTCACTCTTGCTCGAATGTTCAATGGAATCCAACAGACGAAGATTCATGTGATATCGATGAAGAGACAACTGATTCATCTTCAGTTGAACAATTTATGAACATCCAGCAAGAAGAAGAGGAGGAAGAAGAAGAAATTGAAGAAGACATGACTGTTGAAGTCTAATTTGAAGAGTATGAAGCAGATTAAAATATTAACAGGAATTAGAACCATAGTTTAAATCAATCAACTATATCAATATCAAAATCAATAATCATCATGCAGTAATTACAGTATTTTCCCATAAAACTCCGTCATAACAGATCGTAGGCCTACTCGGGAAACCACGTTAAAAAAAACGCGCCAAGTACACTACATCACAGGTGGTGTGGAAATGTGTGCATATCATGTAGAATATTAACTCCTTCAACTTTTAGAACGGCGATATCTTAGGCTTAGGAATGGTCATTCCTAGGGAAAAAAGTATAAGGATCATTTTTGCAGATAATTTTAAGCTCTATAATTTTTGTCTGAACTATATTTTTGATAAAACTTACCGTTTTCGAGAAAAATCGAAAAAAACAAAAAAATTGACTTTTGCCCTTGAATAACTTTTTTAGCACACATGGGATCTATGGGGACTTTTGACAATTTATTTCTACTGGTGTACCCAAGGTCTGTACCAAAATTCAGCTCTGTCGGAGTTTTTGTTATTTGATCACTATTTTTATGTCTATTTTGACCGGACTATTTGGCAAACTATAAAAAGCTTATAAACCAACCATAAAGAACAAAGATCTGCGTTTATTAGAATCGAGGAGTGGAAGGAATATTACAACAATCTCTTAAGGTAATAATTGTCCAGTAATTGGATTATATCTGTTGGGCAATAAACATTATTATTATTATTATTATTATTATTATTAACAAGAACAAGAACGGAATTCCTCAACCAGGACATAGAGCTGAAGGGGAATAGAGAATAGATCTGATAAAGAAAATGCTGCAGGAGTGTCTATCGCAAATGTTGCAAAGATTAGTGCATCTTTTAAACCAACAACAAAAACCACCGAAAGAGTGGAAGGTTGGAATATTTTATCGCTATTCAAAAAAGAGAATAGAAAAGACCCAAGTTGTTATCGAAGAGTATGTGTAACGAGCTCATTAAGTAGATTATGGGGCAGATTATATCAAAGAAGGCTAAGACAAGACAAAGGGACATTTATCGGAGAGGATCAAAGCGGTTTTACAGCAGACCGCTCCAGTGTTGATAATAATTTGTATACCTTAAAACAAGTAATGTAGAAAAAAATAGCAAAAAATCAACAGTTGCACTTAACATTCATAGACCTTAAAGAAGCATACGATAACGTACCAAGAACTAAGCTAATAGATACACTCAAATCAATCGGTACCAGTTCCTCTCTGCTACGAATAATTTCAGACAACATAGCGTATATCAAACAAGGAAGAGAGTTGTCCGAACCAATATATCCCACCAAAGACCTCAGACAAGGATGCAGTTTATCTCCACTTTTATTTATTATCTATGTGGAAAGGACGCTGCAACAATTGAAACTGAAATGCGAAGGAATGGGTTTACCTATTGGAGAGGTCCATCTATTCACATTAAGTTTTGCAGACGACCAGGTTGCCTTAGCACAAAACTCTTTTGCCATGGAATTCATGTTGACTAGATTATATGAAAAATACAAAAAACGGGGATTGGAAGTCAGCTCAAATTTCGATATCGAAATTTGAGGCGTTAATTATTAATGATAGCGCTTTGGTTTAACAAGTGGATAAGTTTAAGTATCTTGGGATCATTGTGGGCGGTAACAGAATAGGTAGCCAAATCATGAGATACGGGTTACAAGAGGCAAAAAAAGTAATTAGGGCTTTAAATGCCGTGTGGTGGAATAAGACTATTACTAAGAAGAATAAGAAGAGAATTGGCCACACGGTAGTAGAATCCGTGTTAATGTAAGGGGGTGAAGTAAGGTAAATGAAAGAGAAGGACAAGAGACGTATAACTGCTGTCGAAATGGATTATTTAAGAAGAAATACTCGAAATCGAAACTGGGAAGAATAAGAAATGAGGAAATTAGGAACACAATGTCAGTAACCGAAACGGTAATTGACCGTATCGAAAGAAGAAGTCTCGTATGGTTTGGACACCTTCTCAGAATGGAGAATTCACAATGACCGAAAGAAGTATTCATATGGAAGGCCTCAGGAAGAAACAAACGACGACGACCGCACAAATCATGAAGCGAAAGAATAAAGAAAGCGATGAGAAACAGGGAGTTAGACGAAAATATGGCGAATGACCGGAGAGGTTGAAGACAAGAACTAATTAAAGTTGTATGGTTATTTTTTGTTTTCTTTTTATTTATAGATGTCTTTTGTTTATACTGACTATGAAATGTACACTTTAGTTATGCCAGTGTATATACAGGGTCATCATAAATGATTGTAGTCAAGTTGGCTTTGAAAACAAATTCATTTTTTGTTGTTGCCGTTCCATAATACGATTCAAAGTAATTCGAACTATTAATTAAATGTCATGATCTATTACTGCATTTGAGGTTATTTTCAAAAATAATAAAACATTCTGGAAGTGTTGCTAAAAGTGTTACATAAATTCATTCGTGTCTGTGGCCCCGTGCCTCGTGTGTTCGTCCAGTTTATATAAAAAAAATTATGGAACAACAAAATGACCAATCAAACTAAAAGTCCACAAGAAGATGGTGCAGAGAAAATCCTATGGGTTTAAGTATAGCAGGATGACATCACAGTCTTCGGTTCCAAAGTTTAACAGAAAAGCCTAGTTTAACAGCGTGGCAGTCATGAATCATGATATAATAACAACCTCAAAAGAAGTAGGTAAGTATAAATTTCATGGTTGTTGATAGAAAATTTAGGAACAAGAAACTGAATAATTTAATTTTAGGAAAACGGTTTTAGAACCAGAGATT